CGGTGATGATTGAGATTAATACGGGTTTTTTTAACTCCATTCTTCGCGCGGGATCAATGACGAAGGGGAACACGACTTTCTCGAGCAACTTTGTTCCCAACCGAGTAGTTCCGTTTGGGAAAACGTTTGACACAGCGGAATTGATCTCTCCATGGCTGAGGTTATTATATCCATCGTCATCTCGGAAGTTAATAAACCGTAGCGAAATGCCGGATTTATTATACGTCTGTGCGATCCTCGAGATACGTTGGACAACCGATTTCTGGTCGTCGAAGCGGTTGTCCATTGACATAGATCCGCTGTCGTCGCAGAATACAATAATGTCGTATAACCCGACTTTTGTAAGATCTGGTGTTGCGTGGGAGGAGATACCGAGGGATGCGCAGATGCGGTCTGCTTCTGCTTCTGCGCGACGGGCGATAAGGATTGGGTCTGGAGAGTCGGGGGGGATGATGGATTCAAGGCCTTGGTTGACGATGTGCGAGGAAAGGTGTTCGCGGAGCTCTTTGTAGGTTCTTGGGATTGGGCCCTGGGTTGGATGGTTAGATGAGATGAGGGAGTGGTGGTGGGGGGGAACTTACGTTTTCGTCGTAGGCAAAGCTGACTTTTGGTTGTTGCCTTGGCTGGTAGTCCTGGAAGTCCTGCTGTAATCGGGGGGTGTCAGGAGGTGTGAACCGTTGGAGTTGGTTATCTGGTTGTGACATGTTCGGGGAGCCGTTTGAAGTCTGGGGACGTCGGCGGGTACTTGTAGTCCGAGTGATGGTGATATTTAAACCCTGAGGGTTTGCTGAAGACTTTTGCTTTCTCTCGTCTCCAAGTGTTCTACGTCCATCATGACTCTCCCCGCTTCCCCTACGCCTTTCCCGCTCCTCTCGCTCACGCTCTTCCTGCTCTCTCCGCTCTCTCACAAAACACCGCTTTGGCCGCAACTCATCCTCTTTCACAGCTTCGCGGGCAAGACTTTCCACATTTGACACAAAGTCGTCGAAATCGAGCTCAGTCTGCTGCTCCTGCTGCTCGATGTCGTCGTCTCGGGCGTAATCCACTAGATTCCCCGGATGAACATCTATTGGCTGCTGCTGCACCCGCGGCGGTGGCGTATCAACCTGATGATGATGATGATGATGATGATTTCTCCGCGAAACGTCCACGCGGGTAAAATCAGCCGCCTTCCCTCTTGTCAAATCCACCGACTGTCGGGAGGGCAAAAAATCCACTGGCTGTCCTCCCCCGCGAGGTAGATCCATTGACTGTCCCCTCGTAAAGTCCGCCGCCGCTGGTCGCCCCCGATAAACATCCACTGACTGCCCCCTCGTCCGCCCTCCCCTTGCCACATCCCCCTGTTGTCTTCCCCTCCCCGTATCCCCACCAAACACTGTCACCCCCCTCGCCAACGGCTCTGGTTGACTCCGCCGCTTCCTGGTCTGGTCAATATACACTGACCTGTCCCTCTCCGCCGCGCTAGGAATCGGCGGTACATCCCCGTCGTCATACACCGAGTGATGGGAGTCTCTTGGGCCGCCGTAGCTGGAGCGCGGGCGGACACGGGAGACACTACGTTCTCGGCGGTGCGAGGCGGGGGAGGAGTATATTTCGACGTCTACGCAGGGTTGGGGTTGTTGGGGTTGTTGGTCGTCTTCGTCGACGGGGCCAATGGTGGATGGGGGGAGGAGGTATTGTGCTAGGTCTGGTGGGGTGATGACGGTGTGGCGGGTGGGGAGGTCTTG